GCCCTATTCCCACCCAAATCAAGAATCATATACCTTTTTCTCTGCCTGTCTCCAAGCCCTTGACAAGACACCACGTTATACACATTATAAAATTAAACATTTTTATTATACTCAAAATATAATTAACAATAGGGGAAGACATTACTTGACAGAGAAGGGGGAAAAAACAACAGATTTGGATTATGCATAGATAAAAATTGGGGGATTTTTGATTGGCAATATACCATGCACCAACAACACTTAGTGTTTTATAACTTTTTATCTAAAATGCCTTAAAAATTAGCTCTTAGTTAATGTGACATCATTTTACTTTGCAAATCCCTCTTTCAGAGAGGTATATGACATATTTCAGGCGTGTTTCTATAGGAAAATATAAAATATTATGAATGTGAATTTTCCCCCTTAATGTGATTTTATGGAATTTAAACTATTCTAAGTTTGAAACACTAAGGAAAATATGATATGAATGCTTACTAATTAAGGAGCAAAATTAATAGATTTGCCAGTGATTCAACTTTGAAACAAAAATTTCCTAATATTCTTTTTTCGTGCTCTGGCTTAGTTTAATTAAAGTACATCCTGAAATCGAAAGGTGCCATCAGCAGGCAATTTCCATTTGCAACTACTTATCTGAATGAATCAAGATTTTCTCCAAACAGTGCAAAGTAAAATAATGAAATCACTCTACTACAAAAGTGTATATATCATCTAAACCAATTGAAAATTTCTGTTAAAACAATCTCATGATTGATGTGATATCTGCAAGCTTATAAAATAAAGTTAAACTAAAAAGTTCATAACCTTATCTAAAATTTACAGAAATTTAATCCTTAAAATCAGCTTAGTTTTTCAAAAATAAAAATTCACATATAGTAACACTTTGTGCCATTTACTTTGTCTTATTCTCCTCCAAAATGCAAATCTTTGGAACAAGAAAAATAAGTACTGCCCTTCTAGCTCTCTAAGATCTCCCCACATTCTTCCACACAGAATGCCTCATATTTCTTGATGATCAGCATTTTTCCACATTTAACAAACGTAGAAACTAAAAACATTAGTTTAACATAAAATTCAAATAAGTCTCTACTAGTATTCACACCACTTAAAAATTTGTCCTAAGCAACTAAACTTATTACCAACTAAAAATGAACTTTCTCACAGTACACCCAAGAGTGGTTGAGTATTTCTTATCTGAAATGCTTGAGACCAGAAGTGTTTCAGATTTCGGATGTTTTCAGATTTTAGAATATTTGCATTATACTTACACTCCAATGAGCATTTCCTTTAAGCGTCATGTTGGTGCTGAAAAAGTTCTGGATTTTGGAGCATTTAATATTTTGGATTTCAGATGGTCGATCGGTAAAGAAAAAAAGTATCTTCCTATGTAATTTCTGTAAGATTATATTACATAAAATTCAATTTCTACATTAATACAAAATCATCTCATCCTACCGGTCCTTGAAAGACAATAGCCTGCTTCCAACAAAGGTCAAAAATTGAGAATTTTTTTTTCAAGTTGGTACAAGAATTAGGGAAATCATTTGAAAATAAAAATAACAACCAATGCTGGCAATGTTCTAAGCACTTTACAAGTATTAGCTCATTCACTCCTCCTAACAAACAATCTGAGGTTGATACTTTGTTCCCATTTATAGATTAAGAAACTAAAGCACAGAGAGGTTAAGTAACTTGCTGAGTCACACAGTGAGTAGGTAGAAGAGCCAGGATTTGACCTCAGGTAGTCCTCCCGTCCAGAGCCCATGCTCTTAACTCTCTAGTTGTACCACCTAAATGTAAAAACCACCACTTAAAAGGTATCTAAGTTATCGCAAAACTAAGTTTTTAAGATTTTTTTCATTCTGTGACAAATCAGATACAGTATCATGTAAACATTTTAGAGTGCATCTTATATCTCAAGAAATAAAAGCGAAAGAAAACCAAGCAAATGAGTTTTAAAGAAGAAACTCCCTTTAAATGAACTTGAGAATTTTAATATGATTACATGACCACTAAGTTTAAAGTACACATTCATATAGAAATGTTTTACAAACAGTTTTCAAAAATTAGCTATAAATACCCAAGTAACAGACCTTCAAAACACATTTTGAGTAGTCAAGTTGAGAGTATGCTAACGTCGAAATTTACCAAGACTATCTGGCAACTCACCTACCCAGAACAAAGTAAAAAAGTCACTACGAAAAATCCTCTGGACAATCAAAACAGGTATTCCAATGTTCAAGTATCAGTATCCATTTACTTTTCACAACAGACGACCTCACATGCTAAGGGCCTAGATGAATGATTTCCACACTTATAGAAAAAAACAAAAGGGAGGATGAAGGGGAACACTAAATAAGTTAGAAACACATCCAAGAGCAAAGCAGAAGGAAAAAAGTACCTATTTTAAATAACTTCAAGATGCAAAGAAATGTTATTTAGCATCAGATCAACAATACCAAATATTGGATTAAACATAGATTCTCAAAGGATCACAGTAAACGACAGTCACAAATGATGACCCTAGATCATCAAAAGAGGTTTAATCATATTCTGCATCCTATTCAAGACAGAAAAGAACCGTATATTTAATTTTAGTATAATTTTCATCCAAAGCAGTTAAAGTGGTTTTACAATTTAATACTAAAGAAATAAGCAATTACCCTGTAGGCTCAACTCATCAATTAGAAAGGAATTCATTTGAAAGTTCCAAATAGCAAACGTTTTGTTTTACTGTTTCTGAGTTCAAGAGCACTTTGTGTAAAAGTGATCTCAACGCAGGAGGGAGGTGGGGGAACATAAAATTAGAAAGGCTAAGAAAACAAAGAATAGCTAGGCGAGTGTCTGTAAACACTACGCTCAAAGTATCCCCCACAAAACAAAGTGTGGGCAGAGGGTGCCACATCAGCAGTACTCTGTATTTGTCCTGCTTCTAAATCGTCTGTTAGTTTCATGTATTATTAATTTTGGTAATGGTTTGTTGATATGAAGCAGTACCAACTCTCAGGTGCAAAAAGTGATAGCATCCTCCTGATTTACTCTACAAAACCAAACTTTGGTTTATTCTAACAGAATACGCTTAGCCTTATGGCGGCACAAGTTTGATTTCAAAAAATAAAAAGCTATTCTCTTTTAAATTACTTTTAATTTTTAAGGGATGGAGGGAGTTAGTTCCTAGCCCACACCGAATTCTGTTACCAAAAGAATTGTTACACCACTTAACGAAACTCCTTTTCAAATCAGACCGCAACGCATTCTGCTTTAACTCCAAACAAAACTTTAAAACACATAGTAAATAACATATAAGGCCTTGTACTTTTCTCTCCTCCAGCAAGGAAGTCTAAGTCCAAACAGGAAATTACTCCTCAAAGGGTTCAACACTGAAATCCTATCAAACCCCAACCCAGTCCTCAGAAGGAGATTTAATATTTAAGTGCCAACACACTTGCCTAGGTAGAACAGAAGTAAAAAACTCAAGCTTCTCTATCCTCGAGGCATACCCTGCAAGTTTTAGCAAGAAAATAAAATTGCCTTTTCTGACTCCCTCTCTCTATATATCTTTAAAAGCCAAACAGACGTAAACAAAACCTCGCAGAAAAAAACAAAGTTAAAAAGGCTACTTTGTCAAGTTTTTCGATCTCCCTCCCCGATCCGATAAGGAGGGAGAGGGAAAGAAGGGACG